CTGCTCTAGGTGGGCCTTTGGCCTGGCCCAGCAGAGCTCATCTTACATTTTCAACATAAAAACTAAGCAAGTATGCTTCTTGCTTTATATTTTACCCACTTGCATTAATCAATTAAGATCTCTTTAATTGGGCAGCAATCCTAATGTGTACATTTTGTGAGTCAAAAGCCCAGCATTCTGAATGGGTGCTCAGGATATAACACCATTTACAGAAAAGACGCATGAACTCTTTTTCAGTATCAGGACCTCTGAACCAATCAAAGCTTTTTCTGGGTACCATTCCACTCCAGAGACACAAACTAAAGCAAGAAACAGGCACAACTAAACTCCACCCCCTCATGGTAATAGACTTGTCTGATCCTCTCTTGTCAGGTGCTTCTATGGGTACATCCCCCTCTTCTCCCAAATTGCTAGAGAGCAGCTGCCAATTGGCTATAAAAATAGTAAGGGCAGGCTCATGTTTATCTATAACTTGGTAGCAAACTAGCTTCATTCATTCAATTACTTCTCTGTATTTATCTATCACAAATCACCAGTGTATGTAAATCCAAAATGTCATGATTTTTCAAAGTTGCTACAAATGCAAGTATATTCCAAAAGTTCGCTCTCATAGGTTGCTGACATAAAACTAGGGATTCCACAAACCTATTGGAGCTTATACTTAAGAAAGAACTTGGGAGGCTCATGAAAGTAAAAGTAAGCTACCCTACCTCACCACCAGTCCTCCTGCTGCCATGACCTCTCCAAAACACCCTCACTCTTTCCCTGGGAAGCAGCAAAAGCAATGGGGGCAGCACCCATATGGGTTTGCTCCTTTCTTTTCAGCACTCTGGCCAGTAGTTGGCATCCATTTAAAAAAAAAAGGTTCAGTTATAAAGTTTTCAATAAATTCCATTTTGTATATAGATTTTTTTAACCTTTCAGAGAGTATCAAAGAATTACATGTTTATTATTATTTTTCTATGTTGCTTATTAGTTCTGTATCTTTATGATCACTATTAATAAATGAATTTTGTGTACGGGTCCACTTGCTTAGCATTTGTATTTCAGTAGCTAGAAACAGTACTGTACTATTTACTTATATGAAAGATGTTTCTTAATATGGGCACTGTAAACTTATTTACATAAATATCCCTGATCACGAATAAGAAGCTACACCCATGAGTGTACACCCATTCAGTTGGGAAATGAACATTAAGTAGCTGACTGCTAATTAAGTCAGCTTTCATTTTTTGAAAGGAAATGTAACTGCAATGTTCCTTGTTACCTACTGATGAAAGAGGGACAAATTATACATATATGTATAGAATGGCTTTCGTTGTTTTCAAATGAGCAATAAATTTTAATATTGAGATTACACTCATGAAGTAAACTTGCCTTTTTTAAAAAATAAATTGTGCATACACTGAATGCTTATTAGTTTTGACAGATTGTTATATATCGGTTGCCTAACTTTCATGATTAGCTTTACTAAATTAGTCTTCGGGAGATATTTAAACAGGCAGTTTCTCCTTTCTAAAATTTCAATATTTAATATGTTGAACTGCATGATTTAAAGGGCACATTTCATACAATTTAAAAAGAAGAGGACAACTAATATTATTAAATATATGTGTTTATCTAATGTTATTGTTGGTAGTGAACTGCAACCTGAAATTTGAATTTCTTCAATGTAACAGCCACAAAATAACTATTTTGACGCTATAATCATTACTCCTAATACAGTGGTACCTCGGGTTAAGTACTTACCGTATTTTTCGTTCTATAGGACGCACCGGCCCATAGGACGCACCTCGGTTTTTTTGGGGGGGGGAATGAATAAAAAAAATTATTCCCCCCCCCCGCCGCGGCTGCCGCCCCAAGCCTCGCGTGCTTCAGGTGACAGGCTGCAGCCCCAAGCCTTGCGCGCTCGGCGGGACCTCCTGCCGGGCGCGCAAGGCTTGCAGACACTCGCCCGAAGCACAGGGCGCCCGCGGGAGGGCTCCTCGTGCTTCGGGCGACAGGCTGCCACCCCAAGCCTCGCGCGCTCGGCGGGACCTCCTGCCGGGCGCGCAAGGCTTGCAGACACTCGCCGGGGCTGCAGGCTGCTGCCTGCAAGCCTTGTGAGCCCGCGGGAACTCCCACCGGGCTTGCAAGGCTTGCGGATAGCTTCCTGAAGCCTGGAGCCTGCATTCGCTCCATAGGACGCACACACATTTCCCCTTCATTTTTGGAGGGGAAAAAGTGCGTCCTATGGAGCGAAAAATACGGTAATTCATTCCGGAGGTCTGTTCTTAACCTGAAACTGTTCTTAACCTGAAACACCACTTTAGCTAATGAGGCCTCCCACTGCTGCCATACCGCCAGAGCACAATTTCTGTTCTCATCCTGAAGCAAAGTTCTTAACCTGAGGTACTATTTCTGGGTTAGCGGAGTCTGTAACCTGAAGCGTATGTAACCCAAGGTACCACTGTATTAAAATTGTCAGCATTATTGTAGAGCTTGTTGCACACAAACTAATAATACCTCTACAAATTTGTAAAGCATAAGTGAAAGCCCAAGATCATAGATGCTTGGTGTACTTAAAGAGGGATGGGGTTCCAGTGAACCAGTGCCACCAAATTGAAGGACCTGTTTCATGTACAGACAATCCAAGCAACCGAAACACAAGGTACTGTCAACAGAGTCTCTTCAGCACACCATAGTGGTTGGACAGGGTTGTAGAGGGCAGAGATGTTCTTGCAGGTAGCCTAGTTCTGAGCTATATAGGGCCTTATGTACCAACTTTAAAACCTTGAGCGTGGCTAAGTAGCATACTGGCAACCAGTACAATTCCTTAGGTCTGCTACACACACAAGTCTAGCTGTGGTTTCTGGTCCCAACTTAAAGACACCTCCACATAAGCAGCACTGAAATAATTCATTCATGAAGTTAACATCATAAGCACAACCTTATCTTTGTTAATTTCCAATAGGTTGGTCGTCATATTAGTGGATAGCCTATTATCACCTAGGGAATTCACAGCTGAGATGGAATGTCAATTGAAGGCTTGTGGCTCACACTCCCAACCATCACTCTCAAACTGTGTGAAAATACTTTTCTTTTAAAAATTAGCAACAAAAGTTTATTGGAGACTACATTGACAACAATGATTTATGTCAACAACAAATTTTAAAACAAATCTGACCTGAAAATTTTCAGAATTTATGACATCGTATTTGCAGGAGGTGTATAAGGGGTGAGATGATCTTTCAGGTCTCTTTCAAGTTATGCAAGTCTTAATGTGACAATAATCAGTGATTGTCCAATGTACAGGTGTCCAAACTATCAGTCTAGTCATATGTGTAAACACAAAGTTAGAGATTTACCAAGTGATTGTTTTCATTGTTTTATTCCTTAGTACAGTCGTACCTTAGAAGTTGAACAGAATCCGTTCTGGAAGTTTGTTCGACTTCCAAAATGTTCGGAAACAAAGCACGGCTTCTGATTGGCTGCAGGAAGCTCTTGCAGCCAATCAGAAGCAATGGAAGTCCGGTCAGACGTTCGGATCCCAAAAATAGTTTGCAAACCAGAACAGTCACTTCCAGGTTTGCGGCGTTCGGGAGTCAAAACGTTCGAGAACTAAGCTGTTTGAAAACCAAGGTACGACTGTATCCCCTGTCACAAAGAAGCCTTCAAAGTCTTTCGTGGTACAAAGCATTTTATATAAATCAACACACACGTCTGACAATGAGCAACATATAAAAGAAAACAGAAGTTAAACATTCACAAGCAATAAAAACATTACCAATTTTTTTTCCTTAAAAACTACAGAAGGATAAAATTAGTTATCTGATCAAGCTGGCTAAGTTCCTATTATTAAGCCTTGAAGGACAAAAATGCAATGTACCATTTCAGAATTAAGAAGAGCAAAAATGCCAGAGAATATAAAAGCATTTATGCTACATAATTTTCTACATCTGTCTTTGATTATAGCAACCTTACGGTAAGAGCTGTGAAAATTTGTTCCAGTAAGTGCCCAAGCATTTTTACCTATTTTAAACCACTTTAAACAATGCAAAGAAAATCAAAAGCAATAAAAACAGAGTGATTTATTTCAAGTTACTAGGAACTCTTGTTTTAAACAAGGAAATGAAATTTGTATTCAACTAAAACTGGTGACATCAATGGTCGGTGGGCACCAAATCATCTTTCTGAATGTTATACAGTGTGTTAACAGAAGGAAAGCAAAATCAACAACAGACAAGTAGAAGGTACATGGTTGTCTTGGAAGGTGGGGTGCTTCCATTAAGAATCCCAACAAGGAACCAACTGAAGCAGTATAGATTAAGACTGTAATCCTATACCCAAGGGATTCCCAAACTGTGGCCTGCAAACCATTCAGGCGGTCTCTGTTATGTCTGTGGATTTATGGGTGAAGACAGCACACCCATCGTATTAAAAATATACATTGATTTTTAATTGTAATGTTACTGCTTCTTATATTCTATTTCTTACATTGTATCTTATTGTATTACAAATTTGAATTTTATGGAATTCAGACTGTGATACAATAATACGTAAGAAATAAAAGCAGCAATAAGAATACAATTAAAAATCATACAGCATCTAGCACAGTACATTAAAATTGCTATAACAGTCTGGAAAAATCATGAAGTGGTTCACCAAGATCCTCAGCTATGTTCAAGTGGCCCAGGAGGATGGGAGTTTTGCAACCACCATTACACTTCCTTACCAGGGAGTATGGTCTCCTGAAATCAATACGACTTTTTTCCAAGTAGACATGCACAGGATTGCACTTTCATATATAGCAGTCAGATTTAAATAGGCAACTTGTACATTAAATTAGTGGCAATTCTGAATGTAAGCATTCTAAATGTGATTTTTATGACAGAGGCTGCTTTTTAGCCATAGGACAATATGCTTTACATACAAGTCAGACCAATGGTTCATTTAGAACAATATTGTCTACACTGACTGGAAGTGGCTCTCCAGGATCTGAGTCAAGAGCCTTTTCTACCCGGAGGCGCCAGGGGTTGAAGCTGGGACCTCCTATGTGTAAAACATGGATTTTACCACTGAACTATGGCTCCACCTAATTTGATTCAAATTGAATCAGTTGGAATCCAGTAACATCTGGAGTGCACCATCTTGGCTACCACTGATTTGCACAAACCACAATTTCCCTAGAAATTAGAGCTTGAAATGGGTTTTTCATTTAAGTTTGGAGGCAAGTTGCTTTTTGCCCATTTTAATCAGAAATGAAAATTACGGTTTGTCCCAAACAGGGATGGAAGGAGGAGGAGATCAGGAGAAGAGAGTACACTTGTCCAATAGAAAACCAACAACAGATTGACTATTAGGTATGAGTCAGGCCTACTGTATTATTTATAATATTTAACCTCAAGAGTCAAATATCTTACTTCACAATTGCTTTCCCATCTACAAGAAGTAGATCTTCAATCAGTTGATTGAGTAGAACTCAATCAGCTTGCTAGGATGTCATGATTACATTATTAAGATCTCTGCATTAAATTAAAGATTCGTCTTCAAGTAAGTTCTTTCTAAAAAGAGACTTACTGCAAATAGTATTATAAAAAGCAAAGGGATCTTATTTTTCTTTTTAAAATAAACTTGTATTTATGTAGATTTATGTTCCCACATCAATGTTATTTCTTATTGGTATTCTTAAAATTATATGGGAAAGTGGATCCCATCACGACCAGGTCAAGAAATTACACCCTTGCAAGGATGGACAAGTTGACATAACTCAGGGGTCTCCAATATGACATCCACAGGGTCACAAGTGCCTATAGAGTGCTACCTTCATGCCACCAGAGTTCCTGGTGCACACACGGCAGTTTCTCAGTTTGCAAGTATGCTCATGGACCCAAAATGTTTTATGACTTAAAGAGTTTTATCCTGGGAAACTCTTAGGATAAATTGTTTCAGACAGATCAAATCCCTTCAATGTCTCACAGTGATGGTTCAGTAACACGTGAAACATTTGATTTTAACAGATTAAAAACATAACAGCAGTGCTGTACTCACTGTACTTACATTATTATAATACCTGCACTATTCATTCCATCAACACTTCTGCAGAGATCAAGATACCCTTACAAGTTGTATTTACATTATCTCAATTAGGTCTAAGCCCTTAGATAAGATTCAGTTTCCAAGTAAGAAGCATAACTGAATATTTAAACATTATATACTATAATTTGCTTCACACGGTCAAGGCTTTGGAAGGTAATGTATAGTTAAATAGATTATTTAAGTTGGGACAACCCATTCCTATTTCAAACTTATGGGGGGAGGTTTAACATTCCAGGAATGAAACAGACTTTAAATGGCTTGAAATATAGGTAAAAAAAATCTTTGGTGGTCCATCAGTCACAACTTATTTAAACTGCTTTGTGAGGTCCGTCTGAAAAGCAAAATTTCTTAAATTAAATAAAATCCTACATGCCAATAAAAAACTGAATGCCAACTAAAAAAGCAGTAATATTTCTTAACAGTGGTACATTGGTAAGAGGTGATAAGGAATTTTGAATACCATACACAAACAACCCAAGAATGAACCTGAAAGTATTTTAGAATGTATGATGGGAAATGGCCAGTCAAACTCAGATTTACTACATGATACATTTAGAAAAGCTTGACTACGTGAAGAAAGGAGAAAACAGCACAACCAAAAAAAAGTAATGAACTACAACACATAGTTTAAGATTCCAAATTAACACAAACTTTTATTCTTGGTTTCAGGCAATAAGGTATGTTTACCTGGCTCCCTCGGCCTGTAAAGCAAAATGAGCGCCACAACCCCAGAGTTGTTCGCGAATGGACTTAACTGTCAGGGGTGCCTTTACCTTTACCTTGAATAAAGCAGCATCTAGTAGGCCTGGGGCAAAAATGGGAATACGGTTGAAGTGTTTCACAAAAATCTTTGACCACTCTGTAAAACATTTTGGTGATGGGGTGCTGTACAATGTGGCAAAAGTATCTGTCCACTCAAGAGTGAGGACAGGATGTATTGCCACCATTCTGACTCCTTCACATCATCATTATGTAAGAACATAAGGAAGATCCTATTGGATCAGGCCAATGGTCCACCTAGTCCAGCATTATCTCCTTACAGTGGCCAAGCAGGACCAGAGTGCAGCAGCACTCACCCCACTTATGATTCCCAGCAACTGGTATTCAGTGCCACATTTTGTCTCTGACAGTAAAGGTAAAACATAGCCCTGAATCCACGAATCCATCTAATTCTCTTTTAAAGCCATATTGGTGGCCGCCACTACATCTTGAACGAGCAAATTCTATATTTCTAACTGTCCGCTGTGTGTAGAAGTACTTCCTTTTGTCTTGCTCTGAATCTTCTAACATTCAGCTTTACAGGAAGGCACAAGTTCTATTATTTCAAGGGGGGGGGCTTCTCTATTCACTTTCATCACACTATGCTCTCTCATTCCCCTTGTTCACCTTTTTTCTAAATTAAAAATTCCCAAGTTGTAATCTTTCCTCATTGTGGAGTTGTTCCAGCCCTTGGCTCCCTTTGGTTGCCCTTTTTCTTCTTTTTTCTTTTTTGCATCTTTCCCAGTCTAAAATATCATTTTTTAAAGTAAAGCGACAGAACTGTGAACAGAATAGTGAAATGTGACTGCCCACGTGATCCCCAACATACTATCAAGGCAGGAGTTGGGAGCAAGTCAGCAATAACTCACAAGGTGTCCGTGAAGTTAACTCTTTATTCAAAGAAACAAGAAAGCTCAGGCCTAGTGATCACAGCAAGTCTTCGGGTTGGTCTTGCCCCAATGAGGCAGTTGTGAGGACTGAAGGTTCCTGCCTTCCCACCGCTCTCTAAGGCTGCTCCTCCCCTTGTCCTCTCTTTGCTCCACCCTCTTCATTCCTCTTTATGTTCTGGGAGACCAGGGAAGAGGGGAGCTGGTCACAGCAGGACAGGGAGACTCCCTGCCTTCTTCAGCAGCCTGCTTCCGCTCTGCTTCTTGGCCCCCTCTTTTGCCTCCGATTTTTGCCTCCAATTCTGAACTGTTCCCTGTCACAGCCTCTTCCTGCTCACTAAACTCGGTTAACCCTTCAGCTTCAAACACCTCCTCCTCCCAGTCCGCTCCCTCTTCTTCCTTTGAGCACTCATCATCGTCCTACCACCAACCCCCTGGGGCTCTGAGTCTTCTTCCCTCGGGGGTTCCCCAGCTGGTCCACTCCTCTGCATCCAGCCAGTCCATAACACATACCCAGTGAAAAGAAACGCTCTTTTTAAACATTGTCCCAAATCAGTCACTGATCACTCCAGGTAAAGCCACAGCTTGCAAATCTGCTGGAACTGAAACTTAGCCACTTCAGCCATCTAGGCCTCCAGGGCAATGATGGATCAACAAACACCCACAAGATCCTTCTGAAACAGCACAACCCTATCCAGAACTGGTCATATCCCCACTTCTCCACCATAATAGCCACCTACACACAGAGACTCCATCTTGTCAGGATTTAGTATGCTACATTACTTCTCTAAGCTAGAAAACACATAGTGCTAAGAAAGCAGCACTCAAGTCTTCTAGACTCACAGGGTCACTGAACTTTGAATCCCAGGAAATGAAGGGCAGGGGCAGAAATGTTTTCCTAAGCAAGCATATTAGACAAGAAACTAGTTCCTGTCATGGGTGTCAATTTCACTATGCTGGCTGTATGTCTTCTCTCCTCTTTTCAGTCTCAAATTGGGGGTGGGGGTGGTGCACACCTGAGCATGTAGGTTGATATTGGGCACTGCCACAGCACAGCTGCCTTTCGTAGCTGAAGAAATATAGTGTTGTGATAGTTAATTCAGGGTAGGGGGAAAGACAGGAAACAGAAGATGGATACAGGAGAATTCTAAGAACAGAGCATCCAGCCTGACAACAATACAAGACCAAAGTGGATATTCACCTTTTCAAATCACTTATTTGCAGGGCTGGTAAGAAAAATAGGTTTGAAAATTTGATCTCAAAACGATGAAGAGATAAATAAAGATGCCCTGAATATAAAAGCTGCTGGTCACATGAAACAGCCACCAACTTTTAAACAAACATTTGCTATCTTAAATCCTTACCAAGAACAATACTAAAGAGGGATGCTACCTATTTCTAGCACACAGCACGTTGAAATTGTAGAGACAAATGGGGGTGACACAATTTTTAGTTGATTTTTAGTTCTTCATTTTCAAAACATCAACAAATTTTGTGTACTGTACATATTTATTATTACTATGTTCCATTATCATAATAATATTAAGAGGGAGAATACTAGACGAACTTTCAAGGTCAGGAGCTCTATGAACTTTCCACCCACAAGTCAATTACTTCACTTCAGCCTTAACAACCAGAAAATAGCTTCTAGGACACTAAAGTTTGCTGTTGTGAAGAAGCAGTGAAACTTTCATGGAGGTATAACTTTTGTTTAAAAAGAAAGAGTAAGGATATCCAAAATATGTAGCTTTAAAGATAATTGCTTCCTCTTGCAATGTCATATATGTTGCGAGAACTACAGCCATAAACAGTTGTATTGCAAACTGACTATCTTCACATACATAATGGTGTTACTTTGAAGACACGATCATTTCCTAATTACAAGCAAAATGAGGAAACCGTAACCACAGCTTTCTGCGACTTTAGGTGACTGTTAAGGAGGCCAAAGAGCTCAAGCATTAATATATATCTTGTTAGATTTAAAGATTTCTCTTACACCAAACTGAAACATCCTAAGATTACCACAAGAGTATTACAGAGTTTCAAAACTAGAAAACAAACTGATTGTATGTTTAAACTTTAAAAAGTTCTTAAGTAATAGCTAATTTCAAATTATGTTCAGCTTGAGAAAAACCTACATATGAATTCTTACTTACTTTAGAGGCCCAAGGCTGCAGGCAGTTGGCGTAACAACGAACAAGAAAAGCCATTTCCTGGGTTGAAGGGAAAGTTTCCACTCACCAACAAGAAATTAAGATCCTTAGAAGTTTAGAAACCATAAGCCAAAGAAATGGATTTTCAGGCACAAAATCAAGTAGACTTTAATTTCACAGTGATTAATTAAAAAT